TATTAGTTGTTGTTGTTGTTGTTGTTGGTGGAAGGAATCAATGATTTTGTTCTTACTTACAAGTACAAAATTGAAATGAATTTTCTCGCATTATCTTAATCGCGGGTAAAATAAATCTTGCGGTACGAAATCCTCGGTTACACACATTTATATATATATAAATACATATAATGGTGCATATACATACATATATATGCACCATCTACCCACGAGACTACTTTTCCTAAGCTTGTCAAAACAGTTCGGAGTTTAATACTCACACGGAATTGCATGCTCTTTATTTTTTATTTCTTATCATTGTTTTCGTATTTTCTTTCTCTCTTGGGATGGAGAAGAAATGAGATGAAAGAAAACGAGAACTCGAGAAAGAGAAAGAGAAGGAAAGAGCTCAAGTTTGAGAGAGAGAGAATGAAAGAAAAGAATTGTCTCCCTTTAATTGATTATTTTTTATGTAGCAAAAAACAAAACAAAAATAGGAATGAAAGAAAGTAAGCAAAAGATAGAGCATAATCATATCTAGAAAATTACGTTCATTTGTAACGTGCAAAGCGTTATTCACGATCATTAATGTACACTAATTCGTCGTTCTATACCGTGTTTCGCTAATAGCTATACCTATGTTTATTTGTATGTATTTCATGTTCTCTATCTATCTCTATCTACTATATATATATATATATATATACGCATAGATAGCACGTATTCGTGTGTTGGTGCTCGATCACACTCGCGACAGCCGGTACAGTCATCGTTCCACGCCCACGCATGGTAATTTCAAATTTCAACGTTCCTGACACTTTCAAATAGCATTCGCAAAAAACTCTTTTTCCCCTTCCCCCTCCCTCTTCCTATATATACGTATATATATTTTTTTTCACTCTATACCTCTCCCTCTCTCTCTCTCTCTCTCTCTCTCTCTCTCTCTCTCTCTCTCTCTNCTCTCTCTCTCTCTCTCTCTCTCTCTCTCTCTCTCTCTCTCTCTCTGTATATATATATATATATATATGTGTGTGTGTGTTTTGCTCTTTGTCTATTATTTTCTCTCTCTTACTTTCATTTTTTTTACTCGTTTTCTCTACAATTTTTTTTTCTTCTCTTTTTCTTTCTCCCTTTATTTTATTCTCTGTCTCATTTTATATATGTATTTCTATTTTTCTCTATTTTACTGAATGCAACATTTTTGCCGAACCCATTTTATTTTACATGCCCAGTCTTGTTTCTCGTTGTCCATCCAATGATGAGCGACGGAGAGGAAAATGTTCCTGATCGTAACGTCACTTTTGTATTTCCTTTTCATTCGTCGTTGATACGTCATGACTTTTACTACTTCTCTTATTCTATCTCATTTTCTCCTTTTTTTGTGGGAGTTTTCTTTTTATACCTTTTTATGTAAAAAATAAAGAGAGAGAGAGAGAGAGACAGAGAGAAAAGAAAGATAAAAAGAGTTAGAATTTGATGAAAAAGTCAAGTAATTAGCGAATCGTTTTTTCTGTTCTTTTTTTTTTTTTATTAACCATATACGTTACCTGTATTAATTTAATTAAAGGAAAATGTTTGAATATGAATAATGTTTTATAATTTTATATTTTTTTTTCTTCTGTTTTTTTTTATTTTTTATTTTTTTTTTTTATATAAAATTTTGTATTTTTAGACTAATCGATTCATTCGTTCATTTTATTCAAGAAATAATTGATAGAAAAATATATTGTAAAATAATTACGTATCGAATCATAATGGTTTTGAATTATTTTTGGATTCTTTTTTTCAATTTTTACAAATTACATTAACATTCATTTTAATTTATTTTAAATTGCGTGGTCATTTTCTTAATCTACGGATCATACTTTTATATTTTATTAGATCAATTTTCTTGTTCGATTTAATCATTTGATTATTCTCTAAATATTCTTAATTTTTTTATCATTCGATCATTTTTAAATATTTCCTTTTTTTTTTATTAGTGTTTCTTTTTCTTTTTTTCTTTTTTAGATATAACAGATCATTTTCTCTCGATAATAATTTTTCCTTATATGTTTAAATAAATATATTTAGGTCGATGTAAAAAAAAAGAAAAATTCTCGTTTCTTTCCTTTTTTTTTCAAACGAAATGAAAAGCCAACGTAAAAAAAAAAAGTATAACATATATATTCCTTGGTGCGTGTTGTTTTAATTAAAATTTTGCGTAATTATGCGTATTAATACATATTATCATAAAACTTGCCTTCTAACACATTTCCCACCTGTTCTCAAATTATAATAACACAAGTAGAAAAATATTTTTTATTATACGTTTAATACTAAAATTCGATGAGACACTTGTAACAGATTATTCTTTCCGATAAGTTAAATAAAATAATACGTAATAATTATTTTCATCTTTCCCCCTCTTCATATTATTCGTCAACATAAAATCATAATTTTTTTTATAATTCTTTTTTGTTTAAAGTTTCCAATATATATATATATATATATATATATATATATATATATATATATATATATAAAATATTACTCATAATTAAAATAAAAGATATCATTAGAAGTGCACTTACAGTAGTATTAAAAAAGTTCTTCAGATCTCTCATGCATAAAATTAAATTTTTCTTTGAAGATATTAATGTAACAGTTTCTTTTACACAGATTGAAGTAGGGATATTCGTATTTATGCGTGTCACCTGTCTCTCTGTGTATTTTTACATGCATGTGCGTAGAAAAAAAGTGAACATGTAAATACTCGTACGTGTGAGTATATGTGTGTATGTATGTGTCCGCCTGTGTGTGTGTGTGTGTATGTGTGTAAATCGCGAAGAGTTGCTTGATTAATGTTAGCAAATCTTTCGAAAAGTTGCTTTATATCGATCAAAACTCGTATGCTCTTTCGTGATAAATTCGTCTTCTTGTTTTAATGACGACAGATCGAAAGCTCTTTGGGTAACTGTCGAGCGAATATATTTTCACTTGTTGAAAGGAAAACGTTAGAAAAGGGGGAATGAAGAAAGATCTTCAATGAAAAATAACTTTTTTTTTCGTGTATATATTAAAATAATATATAAATAAAAAATATAATAGTAAAATATATATATACAATATTTACACTATATATTGTCTAGCAAATATCGTTTTTTTAACCCATTCAATATTTTTCAAGTATATTAATAAATTATTTTATGGCGTGACAAAAATATATGTATATATATTCACCATTTAGGACAAATTACAAATTTGTTTAAACTATTCCGAAAGTTCTTAGATGATTTTTTTTTTAATTTATATAATTTCTATATCAATTTAAAATTGATAATTATTAGAAAAAAAGAGACCAATAATTAATAATTTCAAGTATCTTAAGAATTAGTTCATAACACAAGCCTTCATATTAAGATATTAAATCTGTTTGAAGAATGAACCAGCAACAACAACGAAGAACAGGGGTACCCTTTTCCCTTTTCTCTCCCAACTATCCGCGTATTTCAAATACGAATTCATGTGTAATGGCTGCTCGAATGGTTCTTGCACGTTACCGGAAACAGTAGAAAAAAGTTTGGCCGAATAATGGGGTAGGGAATTCAGTTTCAGTTAACGGAGGGCGGCCAGGATTGTTAGAGCCAGAGTCGGAAGAAGTGGATGAAATTCACAAGGGGAAGGAAGAAATATCTCACGCTGGATTTCACTGCTATTTTATTCTGTCGGATCCCGTATATACTACTATCACTACTACTACCACCACCACTACCACTACCACTACTAAACATTACCACAAGGCATCGTTACTATTTCGCATTGATATACGTTCTTAAAAGGGGGACAAAGAGTATGATAAGGAGTTCAAGAAGTAGACGTAAACATTTTCGATAAACTAAAGAAAGAATACAAGATTTTCATGTATTTTCCAATGTCGAGCTTAAAACATTTACTCGAGAAAGAAAGAAAGAAAGAAAGAAAGAAAAAATTAGAAAGAAAGAGAGAGAAAAATAGAAAGAAAGAGAGAGAAAAATAATATGTCATTAATCTTCTTCTTTTTACCGAAAATTTTCTTATTTTTTTATAATAAAACGTGAAATCCAACCTTAATGGACACAAGAAGTAATAAGATTTAACAGAGGAGAAGAGAGTTACTGTATTTTCTTTAAGACTTCAGTATTTATAACTTTCAATTAAGAGGTAGCAGCGTAAAAAATTAGTTTACTCGAAATTTCAAACGTCTCTTCTTTTTTTTTTCTAGGAAAAGAGAGGATAAAAATAAATAAATAAATAAATAAGGAAGAAAGTATAAAATTCTCTCTCTATCTCTATCTATCTTTCTCATTTTCATAAAAGTGACTTAATAAGCATAATTCAAAATAAGTGTCTAATCGTTATGGTTCGAGGGGCCCCCACTGTTGTATCTTCTACGTGGTGTTCTACGTTCCGCGGAATTGATAACATAAATATTGCGCGAGACAGTGGCCATAATTTATCGCCATTGTAATGACCCTTAATGTTCATGAGTAGTTCGGCTACAAAGCCCTCATAACTCTTACGCGGAGCAAACGTTGCTAATTTTCTTGCGCGACCGTCGTTGCTTAGGCTGCTTTTACCGTTTCTCTTCTTCTCTTCTTCCCATGCCTTGTGCCTTGGCACAACTTAAACTCGACTGCTCTTTCTCTTACTCTCTCTTTCTCTTGCATACACATACTATCTTTCTCTGTCTTTCTTTCTCATTTTCTTTCGTTCCTTCTTTTTCCAGAAAAACGTAAATTACATCCCGAAAAAAGCGTAATCATCCTCCCGGTTCTCTTATCTCATGCCGACGGCATTACCCTTACCTTCCCCCACCCTAACCCTACTCTTTCGAGCATTTCAAGGACGTTGGATGATCGACGCTCATCTTCCAATTCTAATCCCACTCAATTTTCAACGTCGTAGTTTTATTTCATATAAGACGACGATTATTCTATTTAATCTCTTAAAGAGTGTCTTCTTATTGTATAGTACTTAAATAATACTAGTCAACGGTCTTTTTTATGTAGTCACAAATCGAGGTTGTTGGTGCAAAGGTTCCTTACGATCGGACAATTCGAGTAATACATGACAGATATCTAATACTATACGATCAGACAATTTAAGTGATACAAGTCAGATATTCTATATACGGTCAGAAACTTGTGTGAGTTTATTTATTTTTCTTTTTTTTTTTTGCTTCATTTTAATTTATTTTCCTCTTACGTCCAGTGTAATTAAGTTTTGAGTTTGGATTTATTTTTTTTTTAGTTTCTCGTTTTTCTTTTTCTTTGTCTTTTTTTATTTTTTTTATTTTTTTTAATCAAAAAGAAAATTCATTATAACGTATGATTACTAGGATCAAAGTAATCACATCTTATTTTTGAACGTTGATTTGAAATTTCATTATATGTTATTATTTTAATATTACTTTAAAACAAAACAAAACAAAACAAAACAAAACAAAAGATAAAATTACAATTATACTCGTATAATTGTACTTATTGTAATTTGTACGTAATTTAAATTTTTCGCCGTTCTTTTTGTTTCTCTTTTTGGTAAGTTGAATTATAGAAAAAGAGAGAGAAAGAGAAAGAAAGAGAGAGAGTTGAAGTTAAATACTTTTAAAGGAGGTTGAGAGAGTGTAAATTAACGCATGGCTCACTATGAACGCATATCGCAGTTCTTGTATTCAGTAATTATTACAGGAATTTATTGAATTTCCAATCAGAACATAATAATCAGATCTCATCGATCCAAATCGTTCGCTGACAATAATCCATCTGTTTATCCTTTATTTTATTGTTGTTTATACGTTTATATATATATGTTTATAGTATATATATATAAATGAACATTTGCTTATAATAATTTAGGTCCTTATTTTCAATCGGTTCAACTGTTTAATCAGCTTTACATATAAATCCAAAAGAGAGAGAGAGAGAAAGAAAGAGAGTGGAAGAGAGAGAAAATGTTTTCAATATAATCGATCTTTAATCCGCGGTTTATTCACCACAAAAATTGCTGTATATTTATTGCCATCACCATTTCCCTCTGCCCCCTCTTACCCCACCCACATTCTACAGAAATAATAATAAACGTTTATTCGTGAACAGATAGAAAGAGGAAGGAGAATAAAATAAAAATGATATAATCAATCAAATGAAATTAATGAAGCAGATTTAATACAGGATAATTATTATTGATTATAATAATTATTTAATAATTACGTATCCTGTTTTTAAAATATATATATATATATATAACTACGAGGATATCATTCGTAAATATAATCCGATTAAATTTTCAATAAAATTTTCTTCAAAACGTCAGGGAAAAATAGATTATTAATTTACATTCAATTCTGATATTTTTTATTTCTTTTTTAAATGTTTCGAATGCAAATATCAAATTAAATACATTAACAATAATTATAATATATAAGTATAATTATATATGTTAGATATATTAGAGTATTTTACTATTATCAAAGTTTTTAACTAAAACTTGATAGTTTTGTAATTTTGGATAAATTTAAAAAATTATATTCGTTTAAAAAAATATTAAAAAGACTTGTGTTTATAATATTATATATGATTACAATAACATTATAATATATTAATACAATAATATAAATATATAGTTATATTACTGTATATTGCTATGAATGTATATATTATTAAAAAAATTCTCTCTCTTTCTTTCTTTCTCTCTCTCTTTCACTCTTTCTTTGTGTATCATTTCTATATACAATCAAAATTATTTATACAGTGAATCATAGACGGCATTTGCATGTAATATAGCAGAGTTTGTCACGCATCGACACGATTCATGAGACTCGTCTCGTTGAACGATGAGTGGCAATCTGGCAAATAGCAACCACACGTTTAATGTGTGGTCAGATGACCCTTTGCTACTTTGACAGGCACGGTAAATGGTGCAATCGGTACGCTACTCTACACACACACACACACACACAC